TGGCAGCTCTTGTCCAGGCCAGTGGTGCTGGTGCTGCTGGGAAGTCTCTTCCCCAAAGAAGTCAGCATGTGTGAGCCAGCTGGTGGTGCAGAGGCGGCTGTTAATGTGACTTGTATCTAAGGGTTACAATTAAGGTTACTGAACACTTCCTGTAAGATGCTGGGTTTCATTGCAGGATGTGCTGTGCCCCCTCCATCTGCAGGGAAACTCCACCGCTGTCTCTGTGGTGTGTAGGAGCTTACCTGACCTGTGTTCCCCCTCGGTAGAGGAGAGATGGGCAGAAATGTGGGCAGCCCGGGAAGTCCCTTCCAATACTGCTTGCTTTGAGTTTTTTTTTTTGTTTCTGTGAGTGTACAAAGTTTTGTTCCAAGTTCGGGCATAGGATAAAAACCACAGGCTGGCAGGCTAACAAACCCCATGGTCATAAAATGAGTCAGCAGAAGAGACGAAGCCACAGTGCTCTGGGATAACCGTAGCCCTCAACTACAATTTGTAAAAACAGCACTGCCCACACAGGGAGCTGCTGTTATGTGGTCCTGCCTTGCAGCGACTGAGCTGTTGGAGAGGACGTGTGAAATGTCACTTCTAGGTGAATGTTTTCTGTCTTTGTCTGAAACTGTGGTTTCATGTGAGGAAGTATTTGGTGGTGATGCTGGCATTTGTTACTACTGCTTGCCTCCTTTTCCTGTACCTAACTGCTGGTTCTTTCCTTCTGTCCTCCTGACTTTTCTGGGCACCCCTCTGCAGTACCAGCACAGCAATCCCTGCCTCATGTCATGAGCTGGGTGAAGGAACTCATTCAGCTGTAAAATGACGCAGAACAAATAAATAAAATAAGCAAACAACCTTTCTGGCTGGTTTGGTTCTCCTGTGCAGGACAGGGCCTGGCTGCACAAAATGTGGATCCAAAAGCTGCTGCTGTGTGAGTTCTGGTGTGAGGGCACCTGCAACTGGCACTGCTGCTGAGAAACCAGTGTGCTATGTGAAGCCACATGCAAGTCAGTGCTGCCTCCAGGGATGGAGAGAAGTGACTAGGACCTGAGTGAAAAAGCTTTTCAGGTGCCTGCCACACTTGTCAAAGCTGAACAAAGCTGCACAGGAACCAGAAAGGCACAGTCCAGAAGTGATGGAAGGGGCAGCAAGCAGAAGACATGTCTGCAGAATGGGTCCAGTGCAACCAACAGCATTCTGAGTGTAAGCACTTTCAGCATTCTGAGTGTAAGGGCTTTCCTGCAGTCAGTCTTGGACTGCCACCAAAAATGTGTGATTAATTTGAGCCATAGATTGAGTTACTGTATTGCAACCTGATGGCTCTTGAAACAGTGCTAGAAAAACATTTTTTGTGGCATGGGAGGGAGATGTGTCTTGTGGTCAAGGTCCTAGACAGTGACTTAAGGATTTCTCTCACATTTCCTGTGTGACTTTGGAACAGTTGGTTTGTCTGTACCTCAGTTCCTCTGAATCTTCCCATCCTTTAGTTTTGTTTTGGGAAGGTTGCAGCGTCTGTGAAATTAGCTGTCTCTTTCCTGTATGTGAGCGAGACATAGCCCTTCATGAAAAACAGGGTAACCAGACCCAGGCCGGAGTCGCTGTACTCAGTGTCACCTTTCGATAGTAAACAGAGTCTTACCCTGATCGGTCTTTAAGTGTGATAAATGTGGCATGCCGTTTATACATCAGTGTCGGACTGTTTACACTCCAATTCCACTACAGATTTCATTTGATCACAAGCACTGGAGATTAATGATTCATAGCACTTGAAAAATGGCAGTCTGAAATTTCAGATGGGGTGATGGCCAACATCCCTGGGGTTTAGTTGTAACAACTCCTGTGGTACTATGGCAGGCTGCTGAAACCTGGTAGAGTGTAAGTGGAACATACACAAGCCAAGCAAAACTTTGCTCAGAATGGCGCCAGTTGTTCTGCTGTTTGTTCCTAAGCATTGCTGTGGGTAGACATGGACAAGTGATAACTTTGCTCTCTGACTCAGACTTTTCATTAGCAGCTAATAATCAATGAGAGCCGTCAGGTTGGACAAAGTAAAGAGGTTGTAACCTTAAAAAAATAAGCGTGTAGCCTCATCCCTCACACAGTCTGTTCCTGTAGACATTACCATACATAACCGTGTTTCAGGCCACACAGAGGAGCTGGAGAAGAGCAATGGGATTCAAATGCAACATATTGAATTGGCACTAGTGATGGGTAGATAATTTTAAGAACATTCCTTTTCCGGCAGTAAGAGTGAAAGCCTTCCTTTTAAGTTGTTGAATTTAACTGTGTTTATGTTCTCCCTCCTTCTTCACCTTCCTCAGTTTTCTTATTGCCCTGCTTAAAGAGAATTGGGATGCATTCTCCACAGCTATGTTTTGGGACCTTCAGGTCAGCTCCAAGAGGTGTGATTAGTGCAGTACCTGTAACTGCATGAGTGAAACAGGAAAGCAGAGCAGGTAGCTGCGAACTGAGTGAAGAAAGTAGCCTCTGGGTGAGGCAGAGGTGGCACCCAGAAACAGCCCAGCAAAGTCTCTTCATCTTTGTTTCAGTCAGTGGATGCTGAGGAAGTGATGTTACACTGTGGGAACTACTGTTGTGAGAAAGAGGAAAAACCCAAACCTGCACCATCTCTAGCAGTTGTGCTGGTGCAAAAAAGTGTGAGATGGGGAAGAAGAAATTTGCCTGTTCTGTTCCTACTTTTGCCCATAAAAGCCAAGCTTCATTTTTCCTTTGATAATTTGGAAGCAAATGGCATGTCATGTGTATGGATTATGTGTGTTCCTCATGATGGGAGAAACAGATCCCCCTGTAATGCTACAGCACCAGTTCCCTGCACAGTGGCTACAGTACAAGTCAACACAAATAACAATAGCCAAAACGAGGAGGAAAATTAACAGAAAAAACTGTAGCATCATGGTTACAGGCCCACGATGATGCACCATGTTCCACATGGGGAAATAATGCCATGCAAAACCCATTTTATGTTTGCAATTTTATTTAGTCAAGAAAGCTTTTGAGATTAATAATTGCCTTAAGTAATCTGTTGTGTTCAGCAAACATTAGATTTAGTTTGTCTGGCTTTTAAATAGTCTGAAGCCTTATCTATTACAGGAATCCCCTGATCTTTCCAGGATGTTTTATACATACAGTAGCTACTTCCTCTTATAGAAATAATGTCATTTGGAAGTGAACAGTACATGCTGAAAAAGCTTTTGTCTGCAATCAAATTGGCAGCGACTGAGAAAATCCAGATGATCTCCCAAAGGGGAGTCTGTGCAGCTGGGCCATTCTTTGTAACAGTAGTGTTTTGCTTTTTCTGTTTAAATGTGTTGTATTCTGTCTGCCACACACACCTGCTCTGTTACAAATTTGAGTGGGACAATGTAGGACAATGTTGTGACCAAACTAGCATTGCTTAGAGTCCAGCTGCAGAGTGGATGAGTTTGTCCCCACACAGTCTGTAAGACAAGAGGTGGGAGTGCTGACGCCATTTGTCCTTAGAAATGTGAAGCCATCCAAGGACAAGATTCCTCTCGCTTCTTCTCGCACCAGATGATTTCCCCTCTCCCCAGCTTAGCTGATGACATTGAGAATTTCACGGATGTTTCTCAGTCTCCTTCCAGTCTTGATATTATTTGGCCCTAATATCCACTACATGTGTATAATAATGGTACACTGATGTTAGAATATGTTGGTGAAAATGATGTGTAAGATAGCACTGTGACAGAGGTAATCGGGGACTTTTTCACCTGGGCACAATGTGCTGCCTGGCCCATGATCTACTGAGTGAATGAAAGATGTATTGAGGGTTTCAAGGCAAATTTTTTCCTTAGCTTTTTTCCCCTGGACTGATAGCTTGTTTCTTCATGAGTGTATTTGCAGTGAATATTAAACCAAAAGGTGCTTTATAGGCATAATTAAAAGTAAAAGGAGTTTATAGTTTTTTGGAGGAAAGCCAGACTTTTAAATTTTTTTTCCTCTTCTGTGATTTAGCTAACGTGAGGCTCACAATGTGTGTATCTGGGGATAGCGAAACTCTAAATTAGTCTCAGGAGCCCCGTAATCTGACAGACAAAAATTTACCCTACTAAACTAAAGCTGTGTAATTTCGACAGGTGTGATGGATTAAAGAGAAAACATTGACCTGGTTCCACTCTGCTAGGCTTTCCAATTACACAGGATGCTGTGGAAAGCAAGACCTTGCAGAGTAATACCTGGACCAGCAAGACTGAGGTTTTAAATGTCCCTTATGCTTTGAAAGATCTTCCTTTGAAGATCTTGCTTGAGCGCTAATCCCAGAACATTAATGAAGGAGTCTCCTGTAGGTAGGGATGTTATCTCTTTGTAGTCTGTTTATCAGCTGGCTAAATAGACAATTTTTATGCCTTTGTGCTTAGAAGCTCTTTAATGAGATCTGAATTTTATGGCCAAGCCAAGTTAAGAGTTCGGATTTTGACTCCAAGGAAGATGCCAGCCTGCAGAAAACGCACAGTGCACTTGGACGTAAAACGTGCAGAGATGGAGAAGAGACGTCAGGATGAAATTCTAATGGAAAACAAAACAACCACGATACAGCTTTTGGGAGGAAATATTTTGCCAAGGATGTGGTCAGCCCTTTCTGCATCAGCTTTCTGAGACAGTTCTAATGCCTTGAAATTACCAGAGCACCAGTCAGTTGTAATCTAAGAAAGAAATGTCAGAGAGGATTAAATGAAAGATGCAAAGGCCTGCTTGTGAGCTTGAGTTGTTCTGTAGTTAATCTCTGATATACTCCAGTTACTGTAGCTTCCTTTGCTCATCTAAATACTGTAGAGATTGTAATTTCTGTGTGATGATAGGATGTCCAGAAAAGGGGGATCTCTTAAAGTGAGAAAGTTTAAAAACTCTGCCATCCCTGTTCAGGCAGGTGTGTTTGTTCTAACATTGCTTCTTTGGACCAACAATGGTCCAAGTCACTGCCTTTTCCACTATTCCAGAGTAATGGCTGTTTCTGTCTGCTCTTTTTGTAGATTGAACCTCCTAGTCCTTACACAAGCTTGGATACTCAGGTTAGTACCACCCCTCTCCCACTTCCTTTTTACAAGAGATGATTCAAAAGGGAGGGCAGGTCTGGTGTTGCCCACCACATCTGTGATATTTGACCATGTTGGTGGCCGTAGAGAAGGTGCCACTGTAATTGCAGTAGTGCTAGCTCCCAACATGACTGACTGGCCAAGAAGAGAGCCACACTTTTCACAGGAAATAGTATGTGCAGATGGTGAGGAGGGGACCTGGTGTACAGTTGGACAGCAGCAAAATTGACTTGTATTTTTTAGAAGAGAGGATGCAGTCCTCAAGGCATTGCAAGTAGCCATTCATGGGATTATCATTTCTTTTGGTATACTGAGCTTCCTAGCTTTTCTTATGATCCCCGCTGCTAGTGTGTTACTCTAAAACACTGTTGTGCTGCTATTCCCTCTTTAGACATTACTATGAATGGTAATGAATCTGTGGAGAAGCCTGGCACCAGAAGGTCAAAGTGACAGAAGGGATTTTACAAAGTCACTGATGCTTTGATTTGTGTCTTCTAACAAGGCAGCATCATTGATTTCCATTCTCACTGATCTTTGGGAGACAGCCAAGGCAATGGTACTTGCATACAGAAGATGAGTGTTTATTCAGAACACACACTTCCAAAGTCCCTTAGTGACTGCATAAATATTTCTACCTTTGTCTTCTACTGGTCTTTCTCTGGGGAAAACTTTTGACTGTTCTGTTATTTGTTTCAACAAGCCTACTACATCTTTTTTATGTACTTCACTTTGGAGCCAAGCCTTTGCAAGTTTAAACTGGCAAGGAAAGATCACACAAAGATTGTTATACACAGAAGCATTATAAAGTGATATAAAAATACAGAGTACCTAATAAAATACCCATGCATGATGTAGAACTAGAAATACACAGTAGTAATGAAGACTTGTTTTGTTACTTAAAATAGCATAAGAGCATCAGTTTGTGTCAGTGAAGGTGCTGGGGGAGAATGCATGTGTGAGTGTGGGCAAAAGAATGTCACACTTGGAGGAGGAGGAAGTGAAAGGGCAATCACCATCTCCAGCTGGTACAGCTGCAGCACGTGGCTGGCTGAGGTGATGCCTTAAGCCTCAGCACACCACTTCCTTGTCCTGTCCTACCAGCTGCACCTTTCCTGACCTGCATGTCGTTGCTCTTCCGGCCTGTTCCCTCCTTGCAAACACTGTCAGTGAGTGCCAGGTGACTCAAAGTTGCTGTGCTTTCAGGGGGCCTTAATATTTTTGGGGTCAGGGAGGGCATAAACACATGGTCTAATGTATAATTAAGGTAGAAATTAAGTGTATGCTTATATGTGTTGATATTTCTTTCAGTGTTACTGAAAGCCACATTCACTTCTGAATCCAGTTTCCATAGAAAGCTGCTTACTTTTGACCTTGAAATAGATGAGTGCCAAAACCAACTTCTTACATCCCAACGTGTTTTAGGTTGCTGGGGGCTGCTCAAATGTAGGAGCTGAGACCAGGAAGGGAATGGATTTACTCTGAGAAGTGGAAGTAAATCTGGGTATCACAGCTGAAGGTCAGGACACGACTTTGATTTGTAGGACTGTATTTCTATATTTCTCTTTAGGTGAAATGGTCAAAAGTATTCAGATTAAGAAGTTGTTGGTTTATATCCAGACAAAGAAGTTAGCAGTTTGAGCTTGGGCCACAGTCTTAGCACCAAGTGTCTCTGTTTTCTTTGCTGTGAAACAGCACCATATAACAAATAATAGCAGCTTTAACATTTTGCTGACTTGCAGAGGATGTTAATATAGTTAGTAAAGAATCGCCATGTCTGCAGAAGTTTCCCCACATGATTTTGTCTCTTCCTTTTTCTTCAGGGACAGATGGGACTGAGGCATAGTACTGCATTTGAGATGTGTTGAGTAGACTGGTGAGCAGCTTCTCTGCTTTGGTGGTTTCCTGCACAATCCTGGGATGAATAAGTTCATTTGAGAGTTTCTCTCCACTGCCCTCTGGTTTCCTGTCTCGACTCTGGTTTGGTTGGTGTTTTGAATGTTGGCATTTCAGACCCATGCTGTGTATTGAAAGGGGACTATATTCTGGAGGCCTTCTCATGAATTTTTCATACTGCTTCCCCTCCTTTCCTCAGTCTTCCAATCAGCTGTACAGCTCTTGAAAATTTTCCAGGTATGGCTGCAAGTTATCCTCTAAAGAGAGAATGGGTACTCTTCCAACTAGTTCAGCTTCAGCAGTTCTCTCTGAATTCCCCTATGAAAATGTATTTTGGAGTTAGTTGAAGTGAACAGAGGGAACGCATTTACTTGAGTGCCGCACAAGTGTTTTAGGCTGATACTTTTCCAAGGAAAAGACAGTTTCTGCAAACAGAATAATTTTTGCACAGCTCCCTCACGTTGTTCTTCTCTTTTAGAGGCATATTAAACTACTTTGTTCAAACTGGACCTGTCAAATCGCGCTACTTGTGTTAGTCAAACAGCAGTATATTGGGGAATGGTCTGATTTGTTTATACCTAGCTGTGCTGGCACAGTGTGTCAAAAGATGATGCAGTCAGATAGTTCCTGTTCTCCCTGTTCTTTTTCTGTGAGTGGGATTATATAGCTCACAAACAACTGTTCTTTAGCTTTTCTCATGTTAAATGGTGTGTGACAAGCGTGAATCATGTCATGTATAAATCTGGTGCAGCAGATTAACAACTATTTAATCAGCTGTGTTCGAGGGAGTAGGATGTGGCAAATATATTTGCACTGTGTTGCAAAATAATACTCATCTATGGTGAAACCAAGATACTTGGTCTTTATTGAAAAAAATATTTTGAAAACAAGCCTCCCATTTCCTATCTCTAGATCTCACTGTGTGCTAATGCCAAAACCAGATACCCTTGAGCGTCCTCAAGGTGCTTGATAAGGTCATGCTGTCAGGATTCTTTTAGAGGTTTCCAGGCATGTGAAATTACCACACAGAGGAGAGCTGAGTGTAATTTGGAGAGAAGGAGGAAAACAGAGAATGAAAGCTGTTTTCAGCTGCTGAAATAGTTGTATATTATATCTGAAACAGCTGTGACTGTTTTTATCATGATTTCAGAAGTTACCTCCATCCATCAGATTGTGGCTGTTTGCATTATGCACTCCCTATCCTTCATTTCACAAAAACACCAGGAGTCAGACGGAACGGCTTCAGCAGCAGTTAGTCCAGAGATAAATTTTGCCCCAGTTATTCATTCCCTCAGAGCAATAGAGTTCGTTATCACCTTTGGGTTAAAGAGATCGTTATCGATTTCCTTCCAAAGCTGTAGCTGTTAGAAGTTGTGTGGTCAGATACTAGGGAGCCTCTGAGGCTTACTGGTACAAGACCACGGAGTATTGCAGCTGGCAGAAGCAATGGGGCCCTGTGGAGCATGAACTGGGGCTGAGTAAATCTGTGCAGCAGTTGCAGTTATTACTGTGCCCTTACCTGCAAGAGGTGAACCCTGCCATGTGTTTCCCTTCTGCCAGTATGAATGTGCTCAGGGCTCGCCCCCAGAGCCACTGTCTGAGGGGGGCTGCGATAAGCCTGTGGCAGGCAGATGTGTACCCTTGTGTCTGTGTGGTAAGCGGTTGGTTTTCTAACACTTGGAGGCCAGTAGCATTTTTTCTAAGCTTATGGCAATAATAATAATAAAACCCCAATTTTGCTTTTTAGAATATAGACTGCCAGTTTTTCTTGTGTTATTACAAGCTGAAATATGTATTTGATTTTTGCTGTGCAGTTTCCAGAAGGTGCTTTCACTGTGATAGGTTGTTGCGAGTGTAGCTGGTGGCTTTCAGCCTCCCCTTAAGGGCTGGGTGCAGCTCCCAGGTGCTAATGAGGTGTGAAACCTGGAGATTGCTGAAATAACGCAGGCACTCAGAAGCCAAACTGCAAACCTGCATGCACATACACCATGCGAGGAGGATTTCAGCTAAAAAGTTACCTTAGCCAAGGGGCAAGACCAGTCCAGGGAGGATTACATTGCAAAGAGCCAGCGTGAAAGATGCTTTGAAGGCATCTTCCTATGGAACACAAGTGCTCTCTAAAGTTGAAGTAAATATTGATACTTGAGTACAGCCAGCAATGTGCTTGTCATAATACAGCAAACCCATACAGCTTCTTCATGCCCTTCTGTAATTAGGGGGTACCCTTCCTGCAGCATTTTGGCTGCATGCTTCTTACCCGTGTCAGCCTCTTGTCTCTGAGAGCAGCTCAGATGTGGATTGCTCCCAGACAAAATTTGAATTCTAACAGTAGTGCCTTTAAAGAGACCAGGGGAGAAGACTGCTTGTTGTTCTCCTCTCTACCAATTAATTTCTTTTAGGAGCTAGCTCTTTTTAGAACCAAAATATCCTACCCTGGAGCATCATTTAAGGAACAAAAATTGCCATATTAAAAGGTATTTATTATCCTGTAACTCCTTTCTCTGAGATGAATGCCTGGCTTAATTCAAGAAAAAGCTCAGAACTGAGGGTCATGGTGTGCCATTCTTTTGTGGGTGTTGCACTCCAGGATGAAGTGGCCACTTTGAACAGCAAAAACATACTCTTGGTGCGTTTCTTGCAAGTGCCTGGCAAGAGGCCTTTGTCACAGGTGCAAGTCAAGTAACTTCATTGCCTATAGACTCTCTTAAGTAATTGTGTGCTCAGTTGTTTGACCTTTAGTTACTTCTGTTCAACCCAGAAATTTCAAACCATAAGCCTCAGCTGTGGTGCCAAGAGAGACTCAGGTGTGTGATCTGCCCTTGAAGCCTGCAGGCAGGAGAGAGGCTGTCTGGAGGCATACTACTGCTGGAAAGCTCATGCACCTTTTACCTGGTTCTTGCCTGGGAACCATCCCTGCTTGGATCCAGAGCACAAGTATGGCAGCAGCAGCAACAGGACAGGTTGCCTAATTATGCATCTGAAAAACGAGATCATTGCCTTTGCAGATAAGTGTTTTGCCCTTTGTGCATGGACTTGATCAGCATCTGCTTCACTGGGGGCTGCACAGCTTGATTTCACCTGCA